ACATGGTAACTTTAACCGTTAATCGTGGATGTAACATGATGATATAGTAGGGGTGTCAGCATACGAGGTAATTTCTGTATAAGAGACATATTTTCCAGAGGGAGGACAATCCGGGCTCGCTGTGACGAGGCTTGGAATGCAACACGATTATGAAACGCCATTTGTCAAGTTTTTATTGGGCACCCTTGAGTCGCGTCTATTGTGGTGAACCCGACGTACCCTCCCCGCGCCGGACCCTCGTCCTCGATGTTAATTCATAATTTTTATAACTTGTTAACATTTTGCAAATTATAAGGGCACCACTGCAAACTGAGATTATGCTTTAATTAAATTTCATATCATTTTTTATTACTGTGGAACACTTATTAAAACTTAACGCGTATCTATTAATTTAATCTGTCAAATACCGAGCGGTCACCGGTGACCGCGACCTATTGTTCTTTAATTGTGTCTATAAAACCGGTACTCGACGAGTTAAAGTATAAATAGATATTCATTTACCTTGAATATATTTAGTTATTTTGATACCTTTGAAATTATTATATTGCATTGTAATAAGCAAAGCGACACTATGTAAACCTTACCCCATAACACAGAAAGCAATCAAACTGTGACCACTGACTTGCAAAATCAATAAACATATTGCAATAATAACTGGGAAAAGTTGATGCGTCTGATTGGGGATATTAAAACCAGCGGCAGGCGGATGAGTTCCGAGGGAGCATCCATATTTCGCATCTCACCGATCAAAGCGAGGCATGCCACAACAAACGCTCACTTTAATATCAGTTGCACCGTTTAACCTCCACACACTTAAGGGGCAAACTACTACATAATCACAAAAAATATAAGCTAGACAAGAAACATAATTATATGTACATATATTATTACATCACACATTTCATCCATCGACAGCATTAGCAGAGGTGCAATTAAATATAACCATTCACTGGTAATCAATGTGGTAATTCTTTATGGGCGAGTCTATCGCCATTTTCTGGAGTACTTCCTAGAATTGATGCTTATAATTATTTACTCGGAAATCAAACCCTAGACCCCTGAACAATAGTAACACTTGACGACCCGACGAAAATAAATTCAGTATAAATACAGAATGATTTCAATAAAACACAAGTAGAAAATTGCTGATTTTATTTATAAATAGAATAGAATAAAACGAGGAATACAATTTTTGTAATGTCTGGAGCAAATTTTATTAAGTATACTTTCAATACTAATCATATCATTTCAAATAGAGCTTCAACGGAATGAGCCCTCAAAAAATTAGTTTAATTTTTCATACATCAAGGTCAGATCAGAAGTTAGTGTTTTCAAATCACCTCATTATACCTACATGCTTAAGTATTCATCGCAATATATAGGCCTACTTGTATTTTAGATATTTTAGGAATGGGTGCAAATAACACTGACTTTGCCCCAAAATTACTTAGATATAAGTATACTAAAATTATACTTTGCTCTGAATTGACTTAAAGTACGTATCTGTGTTACTACAAGTCGATTTATAACATTCAATAAAGAAGACAAGGCTGTATGCTAAACACGAACTTTATAAGAATATCATTTTAGAAAAAAATATTTGCGAAACTTGAAAATGTGACAAAAATTTGACGGAAGGAAGCTTTAACGCATACTACGCTCCTACTACGCTTTATATAAAAAGTTATTTTTAGTATCCAAATTACAAAATAGAGTGTTATTAACAAATAGAAAATAAATAAATAGACCAGTATTCATTACAACCGTATGATAGGTACACCATTATAAATAACAAAAACTTGGATAATTTGGTCTGGTCTGATCGGGTGATTGAAATAGGGATGATGACAGGGTGTGAAAATTTAAAATCGAATTAGTCCGTTAGTTAGGTATTGAATAAATATTAGACACGTATTTTTTTATTTTGTTGTATAATAAAATGATTCTTAGCTATAACGAATCAAAGTTTAGAAGTGAGGCTAAAACGTCATTTCTACGTACAAAATGTACGTAGAAGTGACGTCACGCGATATTTCAAATCAATATATCGTCTAGAGTATTCATTTCCGTAAAAAAATAAAAAATACGTGTGTAATGTTTTAAAATATTCTACCAGACAGACTATAAATAAAATTTAGTCATCTACCCTATTCTTTCTTACAAAGAATATCACTAACATCAAGCATTATAAATAAATACAATGGTTTCTTTTCGAATAACTAACCTAACAAAGCATTTGTAGTTGTAATTCAAACGTTAAGTAATAAACTTAAACTTAGAACATATTTTCTTAATAGCGACATTCGTATTTAAATTATTCTTAAAATTTTGTTTGTACAATAAAAATGTGAATTTACCACCTAAGTACCCTATTTTATTGGGACACCATGTTCGTCAACGTTACCAACGTTATGCACCAGTCTAATCAAGTACAAATATCAAAGGTTCAATCCCACAAATTTACTTTTGTATGGAATGTAGGAGGCAAACGAGCAGACGGATAACCTGGGTAAGCGATCCACGCCGCCCTTGGACACCCGCAACCCCTGAGGAGTCACAAGTGCGTTGCCGTTGACTTTTATATTTACTCGATTCGACAAGTATTAATTATGCACTTTGCCTAGGAAATTGGTATTATTTTGGTTCCGCAACCAACTGGTTGTCGGCGACAAAATTATTCTTGTTATTTTCTCGGGAGTTTCTCTGTACACATCGCGGTTATACGACTGGTCTTACGATCAATGGATCCTAATGAAATAGGGTCTTGAGTATTAATCGCTTAATGATACAAACCTATACCTATCCATTTACTGTTAAAAATATAATTTTTATTTATAACATGTTATATAATTAATTTCGATATGTCGTATAATAAAATGTTAAACACGCCACGATGTTTTCTACCAATGTATGTTAGATGCGTGCGTCTAAATAACTCTACAAAGATCATTAAAATGCATGAAACTGAAAAAATCACACTAGACATATTTTATCATCATTATCAACAGCTTTAAGTTTCCACTACTAAGCATCGGCCCCTTCGCACACGGAGAAGGTTGGCTCAAGGCAGATTGGTGACTTCAAAAATACAATTAGAAATTATAAGTTCGGCTTTCTTCACGATGTTTTCCTTCACCGTATGCCAATGGAGTCTAAATAATCTTAGAAAGTACAAACTTTCAAAAAGGCAATTGACAATTGCCAGGATCCGAACCCTCATGCATGGGAAGCAGGCGTCTTAAAGCTGCGGGCCATCACGACATAATAGACCTATTTGCCCGGTTTGGGAATTAACTTGACTTGATACCTATAATTGCATTACTAGGTAGGTATTTATATTTCTAAAAGTAATTGTAATAAAAAAGACATCTAATTTGGATTGACCTTATCTTAAAAATTTACGCATTGTGTTACAGTATATGTAATTATATATGTATATATATCTTACTGTCTAAATACCATTATATTGAAAAGTAACATTGGGTAACATCATATAAATATTTCTATAATAACTTACAGTTCTTACACTTTAAGCAACATGTATTTTAGTTGTTATGGCACTTCATTGTTAATCTATTAAATGAGTAAGGAGTATGTTAATATAACGAGAACAGGAATCAAACATGGAGGGCGTTAAATTGTGTTAAATATCTAAATAAAGGAGATGTACAACTTTGAATGGAACTTAAGGACAAGAGAGTTTACGAGAATCTATCTTTTGCCCTTAGTCCAGTACATAAATTAGTATGAAACTGCTATAATCAACCGGAGTAGATTGCGTTATTAACAGTCGGAAACGTTGTTAAATAGTAGTAGAATAAAACCCATTGCAAAATGTGGCCAAAAAGTATGGAAAAATAAATTATGGGCGCACTGAGGTCGGGAAAAATATGGGCGGTAGAAGAAAAAAATCAGTTTATCGAGATTAGTGGAAGAACTATTACGGTTCTACAGAAAAAAAGTTCAATAGCTAAGTTGTAGATACTAAAAAGATCTATAAGTTTTGAGCTTACATTTTTTTTAATATCCTTAAAATTTATGCGAATAATTAGTATTTTTATTCAACTCATCCAGTCATCCTTTATATTTTTTTGCGAAAGTTTGTGGTTATATGTTCCTAAATCATACCATTTTCTTTTTGTTGAAATACTAATTTGTACCCTCTTTCTCACATTGACTTCGCTTTGCATCGGATTTTATTCTACTCCTATTTAATTTTGTTTCTAACATTAAATAGTTACACTAGCCTATAATTCCGACAATCATCGAATAATAATACATATGTATTTCTTTAATTTCAATAATCATCATCAACAACAGCTTATAAACGTATATTATTTTTATAACGTATATAAATTATACAATTACTCCTTTTTTCTCTCTCTAAACAAATTGTATACAAGGTGGTGGAAATTATTAGATGGAAAGATTTAAACAAGGATTTGATGTAGAGAATTCGGTGAATGTTAATCCTATACATCGATTCTCGGAGCCGCGGAGAACTTAACGGGTTACCTGGACTCCGGCTCGAAGTGCAGGAGCAGGAAGGGTGTTTTTTAGTCAGTAAGAGTCTGACACTTCCTCCCGCCTCACCCAAGCGGGAGAAGTCATTCGTTGATATTCCCCCCTTAAAAAAAGAAAAAAAATACATCGATTTTCCTATCCACTTCGATAGGACATATTCCGTAATACATTTATGAAAACCTTTTTTACTGTCCGTTAAACCAATTTTGAGTTCTATTACTTTGGTGGAAAGACAATTCGAGGCTGCAGTTTATAGATGGTTTTGTAAGGACTTTTTAAAGTGATCATTTTTTCTATCTTCTAAATGTCATGTACAGAATAGAAGTTGATATCGATTGACAAGACAGTAACAAAGGTTTCTAATGTCTAATCTAATCTTAACGCGAATATAGTGTTCATACCATTTGGCTGACAACGCTGTACATTTCTGTTACGTAAAACTACTAATACCTTAATAATAAACCTAAGATGTTAACCTACCGAAGGCGTCTCCTTTTGGGGGTAGGCACGTATGTATCATCAATAACATTATTGAGTACGTAATCAGAAATAGCTTTTATATAATCTGGAATAGTCCTGATTAAAATAGCTATACGATGGATAAGGTCGGGAAACTGTGAGCGGAAGTAGCGAGCCGTGGCTACCACAACCCCTGCACACATGTGCAAGTTGTGGATAGTCACACTGTCTGGACCTACAAAGTAAAGCAAGCGGTTGTTAAAAGAAACATCTATGATATTGATATTAACTAAAATGCAACCAGTAAGCCGGTCTTGATTATACTTTATCAAAGTTTGATCTTTTAGAACAAAATAAATCAGTTAAAAGTTTAACTTGTAACGGAATGTTTACCATGTTTATTACCTCAGATGAACTTCCTACATTTCCTCGTGATAGTCCTTCAGACAAACTTTGTGACCGTGCCAGATTAAAAAAATATTTGTTACTGGTGACGTGATGAACACTCTACTAGACAATTCACACTTACTGGGTCTCGGTGCTGTTGTTATTGGAGTACCAGCCGGGTTGCGAGTCAACCAGCCTTTCATTTGTAACTCTAACTCGTCTCGGTAGAACTCGGTTATATTCGTTATGAGCCCCACTGCCTCCAAAATTGACCGCTTCACTAGTCCCACCTGAGTCGCCAGGAATTCTGATATTTCTAGGCTTGTCCAGAGGGGCAATGTAAAATCTAGAAAAATGCGAATCAAATAAGCTATATCTTACCAAAAATGTGGAAGGGTTTTATTTCTAAATGCTAAATGTGTGGTACGTAAAAGTGTTTTTCCTTGACTTTGATGTTGTTGTTTAATATCCAAATCGTGTAGTTTCTCCCAGCCCATGACTCACAATTTTCTTAACCAAAAACTTACATAACGTAGCGAATCATGTCAGTTTTAATGAATACAATTCCGCTACGATATTATCAAACTGAAAGTAGTTTACATATAACGGAAAACTGCGGCACAATAATTACAAGTATTTTAATTACTTAATAATTACAAGTACTTACCTACAGCCCGAAAAACGTGGAATTCCATAGCCACTATGTCCTCTCTGCTGAGGTCGATGCCCTCCTTCATGAGAGAGGACCGCACCAATGTCGCAGTGAGTGGTGCCATCAAATCCTGCATCTTCGCCGTCAGCTGAATGCACGACACGGCCAGCAGGATGAACCTGGCAGCCAGCCTGTTCTTGTATGCATCCCATTCTTCGGTATCTGTCATCATAGAACTGATTTATAATCTTTTGAAAATATATGAGCGGATGACCCACTAGTATTTTGCCTACAGCAATTAGGTTCACCAAATGAAATGAGTGGAAACGGTATTTAACTGATTACAACTGAATTTATTAACTAGACGAAAACAAGAATACACAAGGCCGTGGCCCCGGAGGTCTATGGCGATTGCGCGAATTGTCTCGATGACGCCCGAGAATGACCGGTGCTTGCGCCGCCCGTACCTAGCACGCCGCGCACGCCACGCTGACACCGATCAGTGCAGTCGCGCAGCGCGCTGTTCAATGTATGTTGAATGTTGCGCTGAATGTTCAATCAAAATACAGATAAACAATTTAATTTTGTTGTATATAATATAAAAGAAATGTCCATTCGATCACATGGATTTATAACTGATTCGTTCATCAGTTGAGTTACCTTAGAAGTGGCAGAACGCAGTCCACTTTGCCAGGTCAAGTTATCCGAGGATAACGAGACGTTTGTATTATACTATATATTCACTTTCTTCGAAACCTACCTAAAAATGTAAAAATGCGACAGTGCACAATAAGAAATAGCCGCTGTTGATTGTCGAGTTCTCCCAGTGTCGAGAAGTTCGAATGAAACTGCACTTTCGACAGGCACAACATTATTTTTCAGTAGGTACTTTCTGGTTTTTGTATCCTTCGTTATGTTAAGATTCCTTCATATTTTCTTCATTTTGTTCTCAGCCAACCGTGATAATCGTCAGGCGATAAAGGAGTTGCAAATGAATGCATCAAGTTAAATGCTAAATTGAACTTTCGGTGAGTTAGCTGTTAGCGTTACAACAATTATCTAAGTTTTGTGTGGAATTATTATCAGTTCGAACTCAAAGCTAAACCAATTCCTTTTTTGCAGCAGATATTAATGTAAAGAGTATTTTAAACTCGTCGGCATAACGAAAATAGGCAAAATTCTGTCCGCCTGATCTTTACAAATTCAGTATTCCTAAATGTACGAAAATCATATGAAGATGCTTTTTATCTACTACACACAAACACGATACACATACATGTCGCAGAATTATAAAAAAAACAAGTAAATTAAACGCTTGTAAAACAGTGCCAGTTAATTTTTTTTTAATAGGGATCAGTAGATACTGATCCCTGACTTGGTGTAGATACACCAAGTTTATACTTTCTACTTGATACCAACAACGATACATAAAAGTTATAATAATTATGTAAACTCGTCAAAGTTAAAATGCCTTGCTTTTAAGCTTTTATCAAAAAGCAATATGTTTCAGTTTTATGAACAGATCAGAATCTCAAAAGTAATATTTTTTTTTTAGAAATACCCACAAAATACACTTTTTAAGGAAATAACACGAAAATGCAAAACTCAATCTAATTTACTATAGTTATTTACTAATTTGTGACTACACAAAAAAGAAACTAGATTGAGTTTTGCATTTTCGCAATAATAGTTTATTGGAATATTTTTGCAATAATAGTTTATTGGAATATTGTATATCTTTAGTAGTGAATAGCACCTCCTCTACTTTTTTGGCACTATTTGAGTTTATTTCCGACCTACTTCTGGTATTCGTTCTCATCAAACTTTAAGCGTGTTTATAGATTCCTGTCGATTGTTTATTTTATTTTAAGTCTCTATTAACTCGTCGAGTACCGTATTTATAGACACAATTAAAGAACAATAGGTTGCGGTCACCGGTGACCGCTTGGTGTTTGACAGTTTAAGCTTTTTTTAGCCTTTAGTCCCGCCATAAGACCCACTCTAGTTTGAAGACCGGGTCTTATTGCAGGATACGGCAAAACTCTAATATTGGAGCCTGAAAGAGCCTATTTTTATCGGACTGGTTGTTTATAAAAGAGCTTTGCCTTCCATTACCATTAAACACTTAACCATCACCTACTTTTTATTCTTACTCGCTCAATGTAACTACCAGCTGGTACATAACCCTTATTCAAAATTATCAGCTCTCTTTAGCTCACTGAGCGAATTCCACTTAAGACCATAACATTTCAACCAGGAAAAAGGTTGGTTCCATAGACGCAGGTATCCATAAATCGATAATATTGTTTCACACTAGTATCTGTCTGTAAATACTGAAAATCTGACCTATCTTTAATGTCTGAAAAGTAGAGTCCTCCAGTATTCATGAATCACTTCAAATGTTTGTGATCACAATTTTAAACGAGATACACGGTAAGCTTAAAAACTTAACTTGAAACGTTGGGCAGCTTCCTAGGATTGGTTTGATCAATGGTATGGTGTACTGGCAGATTGCAGTATTGGATTTTATAAGGCTCGGTCACGAAGTGCTCTAAGCGTTACAAAACCTCATATTCTGGTTATTATAACCAAATTGAGGTCTAGTTATACATGTTCTAAATACCCCAAACATACTTAGAAACCTTTCAATAGCACTTTCACACCACTCTATTACCTGCTTACGAAACGCTATTACAAAACGTTACAAGTTTCTAAAACTCTCCCACCTGAAGCAGAGCAACTGCCCTAGTATCGGTGTCCTTATTCAAATCACATTGAAAATCAGCCATAATATTTACAATTAATACATAAACCAACTAAAACACTGACAGAAAGTAACATTCAACGATTACTCTGACAGTACTCTTACTCTTACACTATGAACACAAGACTAAAAATTTCTTCGCATCACGTTCTTTTCATGCACTTCATTATTTCTGCTTGCCTACTTAAATAAAACGCTCAAAATTTAGTCTGACACATTAATAATTACTTATGAACGTGTTAACTACATAATACAATGCTTTATTTTAGTAATGAATGTCTCGTCTTGAGTTATTTCAAGACAGATATACGAAATTTTTGTTGGTGGGCCCTATTTTGTTTTGACGAGTGTAGTATCATAGTATGTTAAGTATGCTATATTTAATTCTATTAAACACGTTAAATATCATGTATGTAAATACATATTATAAAACAACATCACAAATTCATAACCATTACAAAGATTAAAACGATATTTTATGTAATATGCTTTTTATCTTTTCCGTCAATATTTTATAGACGTGGACGGCCTTTTTGATGACAGGGGAAACCTATAAAAGGCGCCGAGGTTTTTGGGGCTAAAAGACTAGGGAGTGTCGGATTTTTTGTGGCCCTCAATACCTGTAAGGGGCACCAAGTTTTCTAAAAGAGACCTGCTTCGGAGCCCCACAGTGCAACGCCCGTTACGGCAGAGATGCTAGAGAGACGGGTGCCTCTCTTGTGCCTCGCTGTGCACGGCAGCACGTGACCACTCTGCCACCGTCTTCCCTGAGGCCACTGGATGAGCACCTAGAGTCCGCACTCTATGCACCCGTGGCCCCAAAGGTAAATGAAATGCAGGCAGGATTCGGCGCATTAGTCGTCAAGGCGGGTGCCTCCTCGGCGCCTTCTACGAGCAGAATCGGCCCTCTGGCGATCCCGCTAATAGACTCCTTCTGGGATATTACAGTCTCACAAAACGAGGCGATTTCCCTCTAAATCTCTGCCTCTGCCAGCATAGCCTCAACTACTGTGGGCAGAGATAGGTCTCGCCTAATCCTGGCGACTAGGAGCCGCCTCAGAAGCACTCCTCGAGTGTGGGCTGTACGGAATCCAGGTCACCTCCAGGTGGTGGTGCAGGCTATTTGCCGTGGTATCTCGCCCTATCCTGTGCAGGTAATTCGCGAAGCTGCCATGTCCGGTCATTACCTGAGTGAGCCTGAAAGAGACCCGCTCTTCTCTCTAAGGCAGGCTTCAAAGTGCGGCAGAATGGTTTCGACAATGCGCTTGCGTGAGAGCTCTGGCTGTTACCGCTTGAGCGCATATCGTCTTTGTTGCCGCTTCAGCCTAACGAACGCCAGTCCTGGCACCCTACCGCCATGTCGGCGGACAGTGCGGATTTAGTCGTAGACTATCGCGCCAGGATATCCAATGGCGAAAGCGAGCCAGGAAAAGATACGGACGGCCTACGATAAGTAGATTTCGAGACAAGTATTATGTAGTCAAAATAACATTTTTTCATAAGTTTTTTATCTATCTATCTTATTTACCTACGTTCACTATCATTTTATTGAATCAAAAAATTAAAACTATGGTGGAACATAATAAATATGAATTATCATAAAAAATAATTACTGCGAGATTGTTGGAAGAATTGTTCAATTTTCCGTGATAGGTAATGCTCCAGCAGCCTACAGGAGCTACCTGGCACACCTTTAGCAGCAACTCCAAGAACTCCACTTATTGCCCACACCAGTCTCCGAGCATTGGATTGTAAAAGTAGCACCGGCCAGCGGGCATATTCTCTAACTGAAATTTTTTAGAAAAATCATATTATATGGAGGACATAAACAAAATTTTATATCGTTTAATACATCTATTACTTAACACATCTATTATTACAATCTACAAATATGACTTAAAGTTTATAAGAATCATTTCCTTACCTTCCCTTTGGTATTCCTTACACAATACTTCAATCCATTCCGGGTCGGTGGAACTTGCCATTTCTAAGTAATTTGCTATTTTAAAACCGTCCCACCAGGGAATATGAAAATGTGAAGATCTTAATTCACAGAGCCAACGTACTTGTAAACTTTTATTTGTTACCCACATTTGTTTTATAATTGATTGTTGTTTACTCTGCGCCATTTCATTACAATTTACATGACAATTGACAATTTATTAGAACCATAAACAATTCCGTATTACTTTAAATTAAAATTGTCAAATCTTTGGCATCCGTAATTTTTGGTATTTATTTTCTTTAAAAATAAATATAAACTTTTTATAAATATTTGTTACGTATTATTTAATTTTGTAAGATAATTTGGTTTTTGATAAATACTAATAAAGGTACGTACTAATATTACGAAAAAAAAATTGTTTTTTTTTTGCAATATCTGGCAGTATTCACTAGCGAAATAGAAACACGTTCGAACTTCAAAATAGTATGGCGTACGACAATGTCACTGCATTCTAATTTTGAAATTTTAAAATAATAAATTACCTCAGTCTATTTTTTTGCCGAAATATTGTTAATATTTACATTTTCTTGTAGGTATGTCCATTTCGACTGATTGACTGATACTGATAAAAAAATATGTAGGCATTATTTCAAATTTTCAATACCATGGGCGTATCTGGTACTTGAAAATTTAGATAGCCACTGGATTTGGCAGACGAAAAGTATTTATAATGTGCTCATACTGTCTTTATCAACGTTGAAGTACTTAAATAATACAAGATACACGTTTATTACCTCCGGGTAATTGGGCCTCCCGTAACCTAACTCACACGACAAAACACAACGCAAGCGTTGTTTCGGTTCCGTCGGTTTTCTGTGAAACCGTGGTATCATTACGGTCCAGCCGGCCCATTCGTACCGAAGCATGGCTCCCTCACACTTTAAAGACATCAAACAGGTCATAGTGCTCATATAACATAGCCCCCTTGATTAGTAGCAAATGGGCAGAACTGCATTGTCAACCCCACTTTTCACCAGTCGAGTTATTGTTGTGTTAATACAATACTAGTTCCCAAATACCTACCTAACTATTGAATTTCGCTCTCTTAACTAGGGACTGTCTCTGACTGAATAAACTAGAACCGAAATCGAAATACCCGATAAAGCGTTATCAGACTCAGGAATTGAAATCACAAAGACCCCTTGATCGGTCGTTAGATGGTACTGTTTACTTGATATTACAATACTTATTAATATGGATCCTTCTTTCATTTTTCTTTCCTGCAGTCCCCTCAGGGGAAAGTAGAGGGAACCAGATCACGAGGCGGATCACCTATGTGCTGGACTGATCAGGTCAAATCGCCAACAGGATACCCGTGCCAGACTGCGCCAGTCAATCCACAAACAGGAAGAGACGGCGGGAGATCGTGAGGAAAGCTGTATCGGCCTCCCACACAAATACGGCTGCCTCAACGTGACCACGACCACTCTGTCAAGAGCGAAACGACAGAGAAGAAGATGGATCCTTTTTTCTATTTTTCTTTTAATGTTATGTTATTCTATAACCTTCTAAAAACGAACCTCCTTACGAAATTGGAACCCAAGTTGAGGCTTTCAAATCAGCCGCAGAATAATATTGTATGTAGCCTGTGGGTGCATAGATTTCTTTACCATATCTACTTATTTTGTTACGTAGTTAAAATAAGCTCGCCCGTAAAGAGTAATTTTAATTGTATACTCTGACAGAATTATACAACACTCGGTCAGAATACAGCAATTTAGAACGACAGACCTTTTTCATTAGAGCTGGAAAACATGACTTAAATATTGACTTGGTAAGTAGGTACATTTTGAGCTGGAATGCAACTACTGCAGTGGCGCGGTGTGGCGCTGGTGTTACCTCGTAGCCGTGTGTGTGTGTGTGACCAGACACATGAGCTTATACTCAGAACATAATAAAAGCAAAATAAGTGGAATGGTCGAGAGGAAAAGCGAGAGCACAGGGGCGTGGCGCCAGAAAGGCGGTATATTTTTCTCGTAACTCCGCCCAGCGAAAGTACTGAGTCCCGCCCTCACGCCATTGCCTCGGAATTCACACTAAAATCGAGATATTTGCATTAAAATAAAACTCTTATATTCATGGTAGAGTATGGTCAAATACTTTCAGAATACGATCGCTCTTCGCTTGTCCATGGACAAATTATAAGTAGGCAATGACTCTTTGAATACTGCATCATATTTGAATGACGTATAACCAATATTACTAAAATTGGAGATCAAATCGATCCAAAAGACTAAACCTGGTCAATACTCCTCCAACTCGGACATATCTACAAAATAGTAAACAACATGTCTAATTCTTCAAGCAAATATGAGCTTTAAGTCAATGACACAGAGTGGGAAATACATAAAAACTGCTAGAAATTATCATTTGACTTCGTTAACCTACCAGTTGGTCTCTTAAATTACAGTTTCAGGTTCCAATTGAAGAAATTCTCAGTGAGTTCTCGTGTGGTTATTAGGAGTCTCGAGTATTGAGAAATGATCGAAAATATTTATGTATTTTTTAAATATTTATTTACCTACTTTTATTGTCATCCCCAACGGCCCATAGAGTGTACGATATAACACTTACTTTTCACCAGTTATGTTATTGCTAAGCTTGTTACACTATTTCTGAGACGAAAAACTAAAAACAAGTAAATAATCCTACTCTTTACCTTAACCGTGGAATCGACCCCGTTGTCCCAACCACATGTCCCAACCAGTCTCTCGAGTTACGACTTCTTAGCCAACATTTTTCTCATTTTGTTTATTCTTTTCTTTAGATGCTATATTTCTATCGCTCTTAAAAACAATTCATATCAACTACTACAAAACATATCAACCAAACACTTATGACATCACTATACAATTAATCTACAACACTTTGTGTGATCCACAAATTGTTGTTCCGGGTCTGGGTGTCATTGTGTATGTGAACTTGTATGTTTGTAAATGCACCCACGACTCAGGAGAAAAGCCTAGTGTGGGGCAAAGTTTTCTTTAACAATTTTGTTATTAACAAAAAAAGAATCTTATCTGTAATCTCTCTGTATAAACTAACAATACAATATGACTTATACTTACGCTCTGTTTTCTTTTCAGAAAGTTGCTGACATGATGTATATTAGTAGTGACTAGGCGTTAGTGTCAGGTCAACGGTGAGGGTCGGACAAATTGCCCCCGACATCAACATCCGTCACGCGGATCGAACGTCGACGCCACGCAACCGCCGCCGACGGACGGCCAGCTGCCAGCTGCCCAGCCCGCCGGCTTTTGTGGTCACACAACTCGATTTCTATACAGGCATCTACCATCATAATATTTGTTTGCTATCTGAGTCTCAACTTATCAGTAAAAAGTATAATTAGTATTTACGAAAGAGAGAAGCAATGTTCTTTGCAGAAATATCTCAACGCAGCAAGATAAAGATTAGTGATCCATCCGTAATGTCTAGCACCATCAGAAAAAGAAGTTTTAAGACCCATACACAAACAAATTTCACACTTGGTAACAGACTAACAGATATACAATAATACATGCGCCCCAAACCCTATTAAATTGTTGAAGGGATTTTTCCGTCAACAACTGATATGTAAATACCTCCAAACTTAAAGGTTCGGAAAATTCTCATATTTATATTATCGTTGTTATTTATTTTCTCTGGTGAGCCGTAAAATACGGCTGTATGGAAATGTGGGGATTTGCAGCGTGTTATAGTTTGACAAGATGACAGTTATACAAAAAGGCCCGGTATGTGGGAGCCGGGGAGGGTTATGAAAGTACACCCGCGCTTGAGATGTCCTGTTAACTCGTTTATTGCCATCTCCCATTCTTTATGTTATGCTATTCTCCCTTTCTGATATCATCACATTTTATTGAATTATAAAGGTCTGCAGATCTTATAGTCACGAATACGTCTCCAGTAACAATATCGTAATATTCTATTTACTATGCAACTTAAAGGTTAAGTTTCGTATCACGTAAAACTCTTTTTAAATGTTTGAGTATTTCAATATTGAAGGAAGTATGCAATGTCGGTGAAAGGCGCAACGCGACGGATAGTTTTCTTTGTTCGTCGAACCGTACATAATCACATGTTAAACGATATGGGATGCTTCTGAATGGTTGATGTAACTTTTGAACCAACGTTAAGTTAAAATACCTTGACTATTTTTAAACAACATGCATAACATTTTCTTCAACCTTTTCGCCTTGACTTTAAATGCGAATAACTTTTTCAATCCACAATCAAGTAGTTAATACATACGAATATACCTCTACATGTATATGCCTATATTTTACAGTACGTATAAGTATAAGTACGTATAGGTACGCACCTATACGTACTTATACTTATACGTACTGTACTTATACGTATAAGTAGTGTACTTTCCATAAAAAATTCAATGGTTAAAGAAATTCACGATCACCGCACGTTGTCCAACAAGATCTGATAAGACTACCTAAACATCCGCAATGACATATGCTTAAAACTTTTTCGAGTCAACGTATTCTGAACTTTCTGCTAAAACCATAGGGTGTTAACTGGTACGCACACGTATAAATTTACACACGTATGAATTGCACATTTAGTTGCGAGGGTGCGAAAACTTGTTGTTATCTTGAACGAGGCCAATTTCAGCAAATGGATACTAAGTCCTAACTCGCGTATCTCTTTTTATGTCATGCGGAGCTTGTGTTCTTTTAAAATATCGACATATCTGCGGTACGAGGCGATGTGTGCGCGACACGCAATTTAGAAAGGATTTGCTTTACGGCTATACGTTAACGGGAGCATCGTACGCTGAATTTGACGATCAATTCTTATTACTGTGTAATTTAAAGATAATAAGTTTGCTAGGAACCGCCAAAGTCCTTTAATAGCTTGGAGCAGTTTCTTTAAGTAAATATTTATAATAAGCTTGTTTAAGGTTAAGTCAATCAGATTTTTTGATATAAAATAGATCGCAACTTAATGAAAATCCACCCATCACTT